TATCACTTGTTATGCACAGAGACTTGGACAGTGACTAAGAAGGATAGAGGAGAATTGATGCCTTTGAGCTGTGGTGCTGGAGAAGAGTATTGAGGGCACCATGGACTGCTAGGAAAACAAACAGATTCATCCTGGAAAGGGTCAAACCGGGAGGCTCCCTGGAGGCAAGGATTCTGAGGTTCTGTCTAACATACTTTGGACATGTAAGGAGGGACGGGTCCTTGGAGAGGGACATCATGCTTGGGAGGGTGGAGGGACAGCACAGGAGAGGAAGGCCCTCTATGAGGTGGACTGTTTCAGTGACTGGAGTAATCAGGATTGCTGTGTCGGAGGCAGTGCAATTGGCACAGAACAGAGCAGAGTTTAGGGCTGTTGTACACAGGGTCGCTATGAGTCACAAGCGACTTGACGGCACATAACAACAACAACAAAATATGTTATATCCCTTAATGATTATTTCACAATGTAAGGAACACAACCCATGATTTAAAGAAGGTTAAGTTCATCCTCATAATATTCTAGAATATTCAAATAATATTCTAGAATGTTACTGAAAACTTTTCACATTAACTGTGACTGTGATGGGAGTAAGTTCAGGGTCACTACCCTTCTGTATGAGGGGGCTTTGATGGCTTAGTGGTAAGGAACTGTGCTACTAACCCAAAGATATGCAGTTCAAATCCACCAGCTACTACACAGGAGAAATATGGGCAATCTCCACCTGTGTGAATTACTGCCTCTGAAAACCTGTTGAGGGTCATCTATGTGTCTGATCCAACTCAATACACAATAACACAAAAATCCTTCTGTACGATCCCTGGTGTGAATTACAAAATGAAATTAATTTCTCTAGATATTTAACCTCTAAGAACTGGAAATTTGTCCTGATTGAGTTGTTGGGCCAAAAGACATTCCTGTAACCGAGGAGAATTTTAAGATAATAAATATCTAGAAAAATTATGTGGTAGCATCCCCTAGTGTTGTACAGTGCACCACCTGCCCAACTGTACTTAGTAAAGCTGAGTAGATTGTGTCAAGTAATCAAAATATACCCTGAAGCAGCAGTCGCAGACTACAAGTATCACTACTGCCGCTCTCAGGCTGACTTCACCACACTTTCATAATATCTACTGGTAAGTGGGAAAAAAACCCATGAGCCCAAATGGATTCCTATATGGCTAGTCCCCAGGGTACATACAGAACAGAATTGGTTCCTAACAGAGTCTTGAATAATTGGTAAGTAAGAAAGAACAGGTGTTCTCAGTTCCTATTTAGCCTTGACTTATTTTAGGGGGCTCTGATGGCATAATCTTGTAGGGAGTAGCACAAAGGCTGTGTTTCTGGTGGTTCAAATCTCCCAGAAGCTCTGTGGGAGCAATCTCCTCTGGTTCAATCTACAGCCTTGAAAACCCTCTGGGGGCTCAGCTAGAAGTCAGAAGTGACTGGATGGTCACGAAAGTTCTTTACATTTAATACAAGGAACTGCTGGAAGTCCTGTGCAAGGACCGGTCCCTCCTTACATGTCCAAAGTATGTAAGACAGAACCTCAGAATCCATGCCTCCAGGGAGTCACCTGGTTTGACCCTTTACAGGATGAATATGCTTGTTTTCCTAGCAGTCCATGGTACCCTCAATACTCTTCTCCAGCACCACAGCTCAAAGGCATCAATTCTCCTTCTATCCTTCTTAGTCACTGTCTAACTCTCTGATGTATAACAAGTGATAGCAAAGACCATGGCCCATATCAGATGCACCTTAGTCTCCAGAGGGACACCATTGCTCTTCAGTACTTTGGACTGGTGCCTAATAGCAGACTTTCCCATGGCAATGCGCCTTTTAATTTCCTGGCTACTGGTGCCAAGAGTGTTGACTGTGGAGCCAAGCAAACTAAAACTGTGCACAATCTCAAAAGCTTCACAAGCACTAAGTACAGGTGACTATTTATATAATGAATGGATTTTTTTTAAAAAAAAGAAGAATTAGTGTGATTTGGATAAAAACTTACAAAACAAATAGACTTTTCCATCCAACCATCCACTGGCATTTTGTTTTATGACATTAACTACAATCCTCCCATTTTACCACCACTCTTCCTTTCACCCTGTGATTCTCATTTCTACTCAGCCTTCTCTCTTCCTTCTTGCCGTCTGACCTTTATCCCTGGGTAGGTACTGTCCTTTTGTGACTGTTCAAGGGAATGTGCCGCTTCTTACTGTTACTCCGGCCTGTTTGGCTGAGAGCTGAGCCACAGTGGTGATCTTCATTCCAGGACCAGAAGGTGCTGCAGGGTCATAATCTCAGGACCTCCATCACTCAGTCAGCCCAACGAGACTGGCTATTTTTATGATTCTGAGTTTTGTTCCTCATTTTTCTTCCAATCGGCCCAGGAACCTCAACCATGATCCCTCTTCGGGGGTCAGCACTGGTAACCAGGAGCCATCCCGCCATGGTCTCAGGATTATAGTGTCTACACATCTTTGATTTTCACTTTTTTTTTTGTTCCAGGCAGAGAGAGACCAATAGCTGCATTTTAATGGTTATTTGAAACCTTTTAAGACCCTGGTCCCCCCCACTCAACAAAGTCCAATGCACATCATTGTTTTTGTTATGCCAACTGATCCTGATGTCCCCTGAAGCTATGCTCCTGAGGCCCTCGGGGTATGTGGTTATGATTATGATGTTTACATAATCTTCCTCTTGTTGGCTCTACCATATTCATCAATCTGTTTACAGCATATTCAAATATGTATGTAGAAATTCCATCTGCCAAACCTATGTAAGGGTGTAGTTCCTTTGCTCTGTCCATGCCTGTTTGTCTTGCTGTCTATGTATCCACTTGTAAGTTAATGTTTGTTGTTACTGATAATGTAGGACTGAGTAAGTTATAGTGTTAATCTTCGTGGTCTGTATTTGTGTATCTCCGTGTCTTCCTCTTCCTTAATGATTTGTGCTGATAACTCTATTATTATATGTTACCTTTTCCTTCATCCAATTTAGTATGTCTATTATCTGCTGTTACTGTTGCTGGGTGCCATAGAGTCAGCTATGACTCACAACAACCCTATAAAAACAAGCCTGAACCTTGCTCTATCCTGCTCGAGCCCTAGTCATAGTCACCGTCTTAATTCGTCTTATTGGGAATGTTCTTCTCTTTCTCTGACCTTCCACTTGTCCCCAGAATGATGTCCTTTCCCCTGAACTGTCCCCTCTTGACAACATATCCAAAGTATATGAGACCAAAGTTTCACCATCTTTGCTTCTGAGGAACATTCTGGTTGTACTTTTTCTGAAACAGATTTGTCTGCTCTTTTGGCGGCCAGTAGAATATTCTGTACTCTTCATCAAGATCTACAACTCAAAGGCTTGATTCTTCTGTCATACTCACTGTCCAACTTTCAGATGCATTACTGAAGTAACTGAAAAGACTATGACTTGTATCAGGCTCCCCTTAGTCTTTAAACTGACATCCTTGCTCTTTAGTACTTTGGACAGATCCTCGAAAGTAGATTTTCCCAATGCAACATGTTGTTTGATTTATTGACTGCTATTACCAAGGGTGATGACTGTGGATCCAAATAAACTTTAAAATAAAATTTTTGACCACTTCAATCTTTTTTCTGTCCATTACAATGCTGCCTATCAATCCAGTGGTGAGAATTTTTTTTTATGACCAGCTGTTATCCATATTGAAGGCAGTAGCCTATGATCTATTGCAGTAAGTGTTTCAAGTCCTCCTCACTCTCAGCAAGCACAGTTTTGTCATCTGCTAACTCAAGCTACTGATGATCTTCCTCCAATCGTGATGCCACATTCTTCTCCATATAGACTGGCTTCTTAAATTATTTGCTTAGCACACAGATTGAGTAGGTATGGAAAAAGGGTATTGTCTAGTTATGAGTTTTTCTTCTTCTCCCTTCCATCCCTGAAAATAATCAAATACTTCTTTCTGTATGCAAATTTTCCTTAGCTTTTTCTTAATCACTGACTCATGCTACTATGAGTGAAATCTGGTGCAAGTATGAATTGGTTAAACTGATTCCAAGTGAGGACAAAATTACACAAATTTCCCTTTAATGTTTAAAGGCAAGTAGACGCGGTCCCTAAGTCAGTAACCTTGGGACTACCCATAGCTGATTACCTACACCGATGCAGGGTCAGTCCTGGGTCAGCATCTCTAGTCTCACAGGATAACAGGCTGTGTGAACGTCTTGCTGTTGCTGAAGAGACAGCTCTAAAGACCAGCCAGCTGTCACGTAACCTGCAGCCATAACCCTTCAGAAGGGTTGAAATGGGAAGTCCTGTGGCTCAATGGAAACAAAGAGAAGGAGTCTTGTAGTTAGTAGTCCTTAGAGACAACTCCCAACAGAGACAGGTGAGCCAGGACCTCAGGGCAGAGGTCCACAACACTGCTCACCTCTCAGTTTCAGGAGAAATCAGCAAGGGAGTCAACCCAGGCTTGAGTTGTATTGTAGTTGACAAGTAACACACCAGGAGATAAGGCACCTCTTTAGGAAAGAGTTGGTCCTCTGCTTGATTTAGGCATCTTGGTGGAACTTCTAGAAGCTACGTGAAAGATCTGAAGTTCAAGTCCACCTACAGGCACCTCCCAAGAAAGGCCTGGTGATCTACTACTGAAAACCCTACAGCGCACAGTTCTACTTCTGACTCATATGGGGTCACCCACCACGAATGGGAATCAGCTTGATGGCAACTGGCAAAAGGCATTCTTGGTGACCCAAGGAACAAAAAGGACCAAGAGGGAGGAACTGAAGAGCCTGAAACAAACAATCTATTTGCATAGAAATTGATGTGGAAAAGGACTGGTGTAGTTGGTTGCAGGAGGGTTCAAGCATCTATGGCAATCCTTCATGGAGGTCTAGCAAAAGCGAGAAGGAAGGAGAGGAAATGACATGAAGTCACACTAAGCCAGCGGCCTAACAAGTCTATCTCCTTGTTTCCTAAAGGTCTTTAACTCCTGTCCAGTGATGCAGTCCAAGAAGATGAGGCTGCTGCTGTTCCTGCTTTGCCAGATGGTGATCTCGGCTCTGTTTTTTCATCTGTACAACTACAAGCTCACCTCTCTGCCTTCGGAGGAGAAGCCCAAGCCCGTGCATGTGCTGATCCTGTCTTCGTGGCGCTCTGGCTCTTCCTTTGTGGGGCAGGTTTTCGGGCAGCACCCCAATGTCTTCTACCTGATGGAGCCGGCCTGGCACGTCTGGATGAGCTTTCCCGAGAGCACGGCCGTCAAGCTGGGCATGGCAGTGCGGGACCTCGTGCGCTCCATCTTTCATTGCGACATGGACGTTTTCGATGCCTACATGCAACCTGGTCCCCGGAAACAGTCCAGCCTCTTCCAGTGGGAGACCAGCCGGGCCCTGTGCTCTCCACCTGCTTGTAACGTCGTCCCTCAGGGTAGGATCATCTCCCATGCTCACTGTAAGATCCTGTGTAATCAACAGCCCTTTGAGATGGTGGAGAAGGCCTGCCAATCTCACAGCCACGTGGTGCTCAAGGAGGTGCGCTTCTTCAGTCTGAAGTCTCTCTACCCACTGCTGAGAGACCCGTCCCTCAACCTGTACATCGTGCACCTGGTCCGGGACCCACGGGCTGTGTTCTCTTCCCGAGAGCACACCACCTCGGAACTCATGATTGACAGCCGCATTGTGTTAGGGGAGAAGTGGCAACGAGCGCAGAAGGAAGACTGGCCTTACCAGGTGATGCAAACCATCTGCAAAAGCCATCAGGAGATCTTCGAGGCCACAAAGCGTTTGCCCAAAGCTCTGCAGCAGCGTTACCTGCTGGTGCGCTATGAGGACCTGGTCCGGGACCCCCAGAACCAGACTCAGCGAATGTATGACTTTGTAGGATTGAAATTCTTGCCCCAGCTCCAGACCTGGGTGCAAAACATCACCCAAGGCAAGGGCATGGGTAAACATGCCTTCCACACAGGGTCTAGGAACGCCCTCAATGTCTCCCAGGCCTGGCGCTGGACCCTGCCTTTCCACAAAGTTACTCAACTTCAGAAAGTCTGTTCTGATGCCATGGATTTGCTGGGTTACTACCAGGTCTCGTCTGAGCAAGAGCAGAGGAACCTGTCACTGGATGTTCTGTCCACCAGGCCCCTCTACCAGCAGGACTACCATGAAGGGTGAGCAGGCTCTGCCCCAACCCAAGTCCAACCTCGGCCGCGTTACCTGAATGCTTCTGAGCCTTGACTGTCTCTGTAGGAATCCATGTCAGCATGATTTGTACCCACACATGCTCAAAAAGAAAAACCTTACTGTTGCATACTTATATCTAGAAAACAGACTCGGGGACCAATGAAAGCACTGTTTCCTTGCTCCTGTCCTAACCTTCCTAAGGGACTTCATACCTCAGAGACTCTGAGGCCCAGAGTCTATAAGTCACTAAGCAGTTTCCATGGAATAAACCAGAAACTTCCATCCACATCTTGGGAAGAGACTGTGAGAACCAGGGAAACACCCACCCCTCAACCACCAGCAATAAGAACCAGGGAAGTAGCCCTCCCACCAAAGAACCTGTCCCTAGATTCCACAGGGATATGAACTCTGGGCCCCTGCAGCCTCGAGGTAACTCAGAAAGGACTGAACAGGGTCAGACGCTTAGCTGTGAGCACAGCCATCACCTACAGGTTCACAAATAAGGAGCACAGCCTCTGAAAAACAGAGCAAATGCTTGAGTCTATGGGATGGCTGGGACCAATCTGAAAGTCATTCTCCCTCAGTATTTTCTTATCACATAAAAAAAAAAAAGAGTTTGACCTTTGAATTTATAATCCAATAGTTCTAAAACTTCCCATTAAGATTCTGTTTGGAATGTCCTCTTCTGAGTGTTCTTATTTCTAAGCTAAAAATATAAGTAACTTTATAGATTTTTTTTATGCTTTGCTATTATCTATCATCCACATGTTGTTGTTGTTATGTGCCATCGAGTCGTTATCCATATATACCAAAAAAATATACTAAAACAATACTTGATGTCAAATGATGAAATAAATAGGATTGATACATTGACCCCTTAGGGACAGGCAGGGAAAAGCCTTTTCTTGTGTGAGGCATAAATTGGAACAGTGGTTTATGCATCTCCTTGAGGACTGGGGAGGGATCTCCTCTAGTCTGATTCTTTGGCCAAAGGACCTCAGTTCTATATGGTGCTGTTTAGCTTTTTTTCGTGACCACTCTCTCCTTGCAAGAAAAGTGCTACCGCCCAGTCTTTACAGAAGACCCTAGATGGAGCTGTGTATCAGAATCACCCGGGGGGACCCTGTTAAAAATGCGCATTGCAAAGTCTTTTGCTAGGTATGCTGGAGTCACGATTTCCTGGGGTGGGCCCTGGTTTTCTAGATCCCTATCAAGTCACCCAATGCTTCTTGTGGTCAGTCTATCCCCAGTACATGGGGCATCTGAGCATCAAGACTGGTCATCTCCTGGGTCCAAGATTCTTCAACGTGTATCTAGTACACAGGTCACTAATACTGTTATCAGGCTAACAGGTATAGGAAGGCGGCCTAACACACCACCTCTGGAACTCTACGTACCTCCAGGACTCCATGGACTTCTCAGTCCCCATTTGTTTACTGTTTCACTTTGTCCCAGTCTGGAGATGTGGTCACTGCATCTTTCCTTGTGCTCTCTCTACCACTATGGTCATGCTTCTTGATGAAGCAACCACCTCCAGGTCAGGTCAGACTCCTCCACTTGACTCAGCTGTGACGTTCCAAAGCTGCCTCAGTCATCTGAAAAGCTACTTATTTGGGCCAGTAGGGTCTGCAGACCTTAATCTACCTGTGGCTTTAAATGAACAAATTTGTCCTCACATTATGTCTAGAGTAAACACGACGGCCGGAAACGCCTAAATGGAAGACAATACCTGCACTGCTTGTGCTTCCTGTTCCGAGACTAAATAAAATCTAAGACTCCCATAACCAACCTGCCAACTGCTGCAAGTCCCACACTTTGGGGGACAAAGCGTTCTCAAAATCTCACAAGAGGTTTTGGAGAATGTGAATGGGACCATTTTTAAATAAAAGTATTTCAATTGTAATTAATTAAATGGTTATTATTTATAGTGTGGTTTCGTTTTCTATGGAATTGCTGTTTTAATAAATTTTTACTTGAAATGACATTATTTTTCAACTTGTGAACAGTGATTATGGAGAGAGACGGAAAGGGAGAATTTGTGCAAAAACATGCCACTGTATTGTCGGGGACACGTTTCTCAAAAAATAGTTTATAATTGTGCTCACTTCGGCAGCACATAACTAAAACTGGAACAATACAGAGATTAGCATGGCCCCTGCGCAAGGACGACACGCAAATTCGTGAAGCGTTCCATATTTTTAACATAATGAGTAAGAATGGTTGTATGAAATACAATGTGAATGAAAAATAGTGTGAAACACAGTATAAATGGACTTTGTTAGCAAACCAATTAAAAAATATATGTTGTAAATTCTAAAAAAAAAAGTTTATAACTGAGGGTGTGGTTTAAAACCAGGGGCTCTGAAGGACAGAGTAGAACTGGGCCATAAGCTCTCCACAGCTGTAAATCTAGGGAACCAGACCACCTCGCTTTTCTTCCGTGGGGCAGCTGATGGGTTCGAACTAACAACCTTTAGTTAGTAGCTGAGTGCTATAACCATTAGGGCCCCTCAAATAAATAAATAACTACACACATACATATTTTCGCAACTGTTGTTATGTGCCATCAAGTGGCCTGCGATGACTCATAGTTACCCTCTGTACAACAGCTCTGAACCCTGCTCTATCCTGAGCCAATCTTATCCTCTCTGACACACCTAGCTGTTATCCGGCACTGAGTTAATCCATCTTATCCAGGGTCATCTTCTCTTGCCCTGTCCCTACACCCTCCCAAGCATAATATCCCTCTCCAAGGACTGGTCCCTCCTTGCCGTACTGATTTCTGTTTTCCAAAAGTGGCAAAGCAAAACTAAAAATATGTATGAGTTAACAATTAAGCTCTGATAGGCTTTAAGTTTCAGGGAGCTCTGGTGACCCAGTGGTGAAGAGTTGCACTGTCCACCCAAAGGCACACAGTTTGAATGTACCAGCAGCTCTGTGGGAGAAAGATAAGCAGTCTCTTCCCATGTAATTTACAGCCTCTGAAAACTCACTGGAAGGTCAGCTATGAATGGATTTTGATTTGAAGATGTTGTTGTTGTTGTTATGTGTCGTTGAGTCACTTGCGACTCATAGCGACCCTATATAAGTACAACAGCCCTAAACTCTACTCTGTCCTGTGCCAATTGCACAGTCTCCGATACACCCATCCCGATTACCCCAGTCACTGAATCAATCCACCTCATAGGGACCTTCTCCTCCTGCGCTGTCCCTCCACCCTCCCAAGCATGATGTCCCTCTCCAAGGACTGGTCCCTCCTCACAACATGTCCAAAGTATGTTAGACGGAGCCTCAAATCCTTGCCTCCAAGGAGGCACAATGTTTGACCCTTTCCAGGATGAATCTGTTTGTTTTCCTAGCAGTACATGGTACTCTCAATACTCTTCTCCAGCACCACAGCTCAAAGGCATCCATTTGAAGATACAAGAACAATAAAAGACCCCTAGTTGGAAATTCCTAAAAACCCCTATCATTTCAATCAAGGGGTATGACTTCTTTTATGCATATGCCTCCCAGGTCATTCAGAAGAAGTTTGTTCTTTAATATAATACTGAAAAATAAGTAACAACAATAAGCATACTAAGATTTTAATATCATCAACATCAAGAAGACAAACATCCCTATCACTGGCCCAACAGGCAATATCATGATAGATGAAGAAAAGGTTGAAATAAATAACAATTTCATCTTAGATTCACAAACAACAACTTTGGTACCAGCAGCCAGGAGGTCGGGAAACGTAAGGCACTGGGGAAAATCTGCTATCCGAGATCTCTCCAAATGACTGAGGAGTGATGATGACACTTTGAAGACTAAGGTGTTCCTGATTCAGGTCATGGTCTTTTCAGCCACTTGGTATGTATCCAAGGGCTGGACAAGTGAATAAAGATGACAGAAGAAGAAATGATGCCTTCGAGTTGTGGTGTTTGAGAAGAGTACTGAATATCCCATGAACTGCCAAAATAACAAACAGATATGTCTTGGAAAAAGTGCAACTAGAACATTCCTTTTGGAAATAAGGATGGCAAAACTTCATCTCATATTTTGGGCATGTTGCTAGGAGAGGCTATTCGTTGGGAAGGGACATCATGCTTAGAAAGGTAGAGAGTGAAGGAGAGGAAGACCCTCGATGACAGGGATTGACACAGTGACTGAAGCAATGAGCTTACGTGTGCTGGAGATGGTGAGAATGGCACAGGACAGGACCGGGCTCAGGTCTGTTGTTCACAGGGTCACGATGAGTCATTCACAGCTCCACAGCACTTAACAATTATGACAATATTTAGCTAAAATAGTTTTTTCATTTGCTAACATTATTTAATGGGTGTCTATTTTATCTGCAAATAGTTAACATGTTTGCTGCTGACCAAAAAGGTTGAAGGGTCAAGTACACTACTCAAAGGCATCTCGGAAGAAATGCCTGGTGATCTACATTCAACAAATCAGTCATTGAAAACTATGGAGCAGAATTCTCTGAAGCACATGGAGTCTCCATGAGTAGGAATCAACTCCATGGCACTGGTTTCCACGGTGATCAAACAAGTTGTCATGGTGACCAGCCAGTTGCCATAGTGACCAAACTGGTTTCCATGCTGACCTATTTGTCATTGTGAACACATTGGTTGCCATGGTAACCAGCCAGTTGCCATAGTGACCAGACTGGCTTTCATAGTGACAAAAATCGTTATAACAACAACTAAGATGCACTTATGAAATGTCAGCTCTGAGTAATAAGGTAAACAGGCACCTATTTTAGCTCTTTCTTTTTTAAAAAAACATTATATCCTTAGTTATTTCCAAGAAGAACATAAAACACTGGTACATCTATCTGAGATTCCTTTTTTCCTTTCTCATATTTTTATTTGCATACAATCAATCATATATTGTGTTTCATGCATATACATTGTGTTTTACATGAACTTTCATTTACATTGTGTTTTCTTCATGTACCCTGTGTTTTATATAATCATTCATATACATTGTACTTTATA